TATTCCAAATTTTGACCCTTGTGGGAGAAGTACCAGAAGGAGTCGACCGATATATTCCATCTTCACACCAGACGTTGTATTAATAAAAATATTGTGATGCGTGTAATTTGAAGGCAATCCGACACTTATATCACATTTTGTAAAAGTTAAAATTATTTAAAATGTTGACCCTTTGTGGGAGAGGTACCAGAAGGAGGGGAACGATATTGCCCCGATCTCCGAACTCGATTTAAGTTTGATAATAATATTACTGTGTACTAAGTTTGAACGCGCACCAGCCAGCCAGACAGATAGATGGACGGACGGACATCGCTAAATCGACTCCAAATGTCCTGAAACGGATTTTGTCCAAAGAGACTTAAGCTGGAAATACATAAAGCGCTTATCTGACTGGCTTAAGTCATCGGCTGGCTTCTTCGTAAGTGAACAAAGGAGGTTTAGGTTGACTTAGTTCGATTTTGGCCCTAGGCTCCTTTGTTCATTTCCGAAGAAGCCAGCCAATGACTTAAGCCAGCCAGATAAGCGCTTTATGTATTTCCAGCTTTAGGGTCTAAAACCGTTATTTCCATGAGGCACGTTTTGGCCGTATCAAATGATATATACCGTTTCTCTAGCCATATGGCTGAGGGTATAAAGAGGTCTACTAAATTGTTTAATCATTAAAGGGCTTCCGGAGGAGAATATGGAGTACTCGAGCTTATATTTTTCAAAATTTATCATTTCGATATATTGCATGCGATAAACTTCATAGTTGTCAGCAATTGCAATAACGTCACTGCTAATATCTCTTCCTGGAATTGTAATTTCTGCAATGTTTTGATATTGAGAACATGTTGCCATTTTCTTGTTTTGTAGATTATTTTGATAGAGCCACAACTACCCGAGGAGCCAACTGCTATTAAATTGAATAAAAACACGTGAAAATAGTGTGTTTCTTATTTGTATTTTTTTCAATTTGAAGGCTTCTGTGGAAGTGGCAGAAACATAAAAGGACTAAAAGCATGTTTCCATTATGGCATGTTTCCATTATCCCGTAAACTTTATGCGAGTCATCACAGATCTATTTGTATTTAAATATATTTTTTCCCTTAACTGTTGCAAAAATTTGGCCTGCCGTTAAACCTCACCTTTTTTGGCATTTATACCCCAAAAGACCCCACGGAAATAAATACTTGACGTTTTATCTACATTTATCACGATTTGTTCTGTTTAGAGTTCAAAAGCAAATACTTAGCAAAAAGTATTTATTAAATTATATATAAACAGACGCCAGTGTTTTGCCATTCATTTAATGAGGATCATTAAAATTTGTTTGAACTAAAAGAGCAAAAACAAATAAAAAAAACAACAAAACATTTGCCATGGAAAATTTCATTCAAACACTCCAAAACTACAACCACCACGTCACTTCGTGTTATTTATACAGAATGACTAGGATAATTAATATTTTGTTATTATTTGATTTTCTCCCCCAAAACAATGGAGAAAACAGATACTTATTCCACTCTGCAATTCATCAAATCAACATTGACTTTGGTTTGGTGGATGGATTATTTAACAACAAATTTTCATCTGTTATTCGAAGTTATTAATAGAAAATGGAATCAAGTGGTGGATTATTTAAAATGATACAAAATATACGGTTGTGCCGCAAAAAAATCGGGAACAGAAATGTGAGTGGCGATTAAAAGATTATATTTTGTTTTACTCGATATCTTATAACACATGGTACAATTCATTTAAGGTAACATCATTTCAAATAATAATTACCAGTTCTAAATGTCTGGAATTTAATTTTTTAAATTAATTTCAACATTTTTTTTTTTTTTCAATTTTATTGAATGAAAGCTAACAAGTAAGCAAAGGCTACAGTCGAGCGGGGCCGACCGTTCAATACCCTACAACACTATAATAAACGATACAGTTTATATAGGCGAGGTACTCGAAAGAATTCCAGAAGATATTGTGACAAATTATAAAAGAATACCATCAGGTTTCGTTCTCTAATTTTCGAATAATAGCAACTTAAACTAATTTGCTCATTTCCAATTTATTGGTAGATGTTGCACGTAAATGGTCTTCCTAGATCTGGAACAAATATTTCCCAAAGACCTATAATCTCTCAGAAGTGGCAAAGATTAACAGTTATTATTCGTTTTTGACTGAAACGCATCTATATGAGATACAGACATTTGACTATATTCTTCAACGAAATCAGCGTTAACGAAGTAGTCAGAAGTGCGTCTTTCCTGTATTTGTGAATTCTCCAAAAAGTCACTGGAATGGACATTTTCGTATTTAGTCTACAAAAGTTAGCAAACTATTTCACACATTGAATATTTTTGGATGGCCATCCAAAACTGCTTGGCCTTTGCAATGTCCGGTAACCCCCCGGGAGGATCGGGCGATAATTACGACCGGCTGACAATTTTGCAGTTTTTTGGTCCATTTCAAACCCTAAATATATGGCGATCATCTCCAAAAAGAGTAGGCTTCTATTCTGACCCTCATCTTATCCCCATGCAAAAATTCGTAAGGATCGGGCCATAAATGCGATCTGTATATGATATCCTGATATCCTAACAACTTAGTTTTGTTAGCTGTAGAAATATTAACAAATGTTTAATTCAAAATGAAAATATGCCAAAAATATGACAAAATTGAAAAAAATATGAGAAAATGTTACAAAATCAATATTTTCGTCTTTAGAGAGATATTTTTATGCGATTATTTTAGACGTTTTTTCTTTCCTGCCAAGAGGCCATTCTGAATTAATGAGAACTGTCGAAATCAGTTCAGCCGTTCTCGACATATAAGAGATCTTTCAAACATATCCTCTTCGATAGACATATATATCGCACATATTTTGCTATGTATCCGATTTGTTGGATGCTAACATCAATGTAAAGGTCAGAAGTAACCTTGTCATGGCTTTGTGATTTCGCCGGGATTTAAAATATTCGCGGTTTAATGAAAAATTTTGCATTTTTTCAACACAAAATATATGGTCTGTTTTACCCGCTAAATATTATCCGATGACCACCCAAATTGGTATGGTTGTTCCCTGCCCTAAACTCTGACTACATGCGAAATTCCGCGTCGATTGGTCTATAATTGCGACCTGTATAGCTACTGCAAAATCCGACATTTTTTTAGTATTTGGTCCATTTCAACCCCTAAACATTTGGCGATCTTCTCTAAAAGAAATAGGCTTCTATTCTGACCCTATCCCCACCTCCATTCTAAATTTCGTGAAGATCGGGCCATAATTGCGACCTGTAGAGTGATTACAAATTAACATGGACAGACGGACAGACGGACAGACGGACGGACGGACATACATAGCTAGATCGACTCAGCTCGGCGAGCTAGGAAGATACATATATACTTCCTATATGGGAAACCAATATTTCGAGGTGTTACATAAATTCTGGCCCAATCAAACTTATAATACCCCCAACACATAGTGTTGTAGGGTATAAAAATGTCGGAAATAGCATCAAATTTTAACATACGTTTAGATTTGTTTGAATTGATCACCTTTGGCACGAAGTATGGCCTTCAAACGGCTAATGAAACCGTCACACGCTGCTCTGCGGTGAGGTGATCGACACTTTGGTATTTTTTAGTGCCAACCTTGCTTTCCAAAAGATTTTGGTGGCCATTGTGCGCTGGAAATGAAACGAGGAACCTTATTTTGTAACCATTCTTATGCGATGGTGCTGAGTTCTGTTGGAATGTCCAAGGTCTGCGGCCAAAATGTTTGTGTGCCTAAGTCTTTAATACACCCAGAATATTTTCGCGATAATATTCGGCATTTATTCTGATGCCACGGTCGATTAATACGAGCAGAGGGCGGTGACCAACCGAAGGTGCACATTTTCAGCTGACCTCTTTGGCAAATAAATACGATTATTTTGTTTGTTTACAAACTGCTGGAAAACGAATGTTTTCTCATCGGAGAAAACCAAAGTCGGCAGTTCACCACTTTCGGCCAAGCGAAGCAACTCGTTAGCTCTTTTGAGTCTATTTTCTCTCTGTTGCGGTGTAAGTCCTTGCACTTTTTGGAATTTCAATGGTTTTACCCCGAGCTCATCAAATTCTATATTTGCCGAATGGAATATTGCGATATGTTCAGCTCACGAGCCATTTTTCGGCCACTGCGACGCGGGTTTTGATGAAGTTGTTTCTTTACTCTTCGAACCATTTCTGCTGATGTTGCAGTTTTCTTCCGTCCACTTCCATGACATCGGGCTACGCTACAGGTTTACCGTGATGGTAACGAGAGATGGTACGAGACACATAAGATTTATTCACATTTGAATGCTGAAATGCTCTAACGATAGCCACTTGTGGTTTTCCAGCCAAATATAAAGAAATCACACTATCACGCTTAAATTCGATCACGAATAACTTTTTTTCTGGAAAAATCTCACCAAAATGCCTTTGTACGCTTGTAAACAATATAATGACCTGTCATTATATTGTTTACAAGCGTAACAGCTGTCGTACGAGTGGCTTAGAAATGACAGCAGTCTGAAGTTGGTTGCAGTTTTTTCTTCTCACCCTGTACATAAACGTACTTTTATTATTGCAAAAGGTACAGGTACATTAAGGGACAAGCTTAAGTCAATTGGCATTTTATGTATTCTCACCTTTAAGGATTTAGAGATTAAAGCTTAAATCGTGACTTCGGCGTGAAAATACAACACTGGTGTCAGCTGCAAGTATCAACAGCTTTGTTCTGTATTTATCAAGTTACCGGTTGACTTTTTTCGTAAAAGAACATGAAAATAGGGCGAACTAGTTTGAATAAAGGGCCGAAATTGAATTAAGTCAACCTAATTAATATGTTCTTCTTTGAATAGGAAATTTTAATTCGAGGATTTGTATTAGTTTCTAAATTGTTTAATTATAAATTTTTAAGGATATATTAAAATTTAGTAAAAGTTGTTTGCAAATTTATTAATATCCACCCTCCATTTATTCTCTCCTTACAGAATATTTCGTTGCTTAAGACAATCGAAAAATCACGCAAGTGAAAAGAGTGCAACCGACAAGGAGTTGCAGCGCAAATCAAGCGCCATTCCCAAGAATTTTCCAGAGGCTGTAAAAATTCTACTCTTGGGCACCGCCGAGTCGGGCAAGACCACAATAATCAAACAAATGCGAATATTACACATTAATGGCTACACAGATGAGTAAGTACAAATATCTTATCTCACCGAAAAATGTATCCATAATTTTCAATTTAATTTTTTCGATTTCACAGTGAACGTCGTGACAATATACCGGAAATTTATCAAAATATTCACGAGTCAATTTATCAATTGGTGCAACATATGTCCATACTGGGTCTGGAGTATCAAAGTTGTGCCAGCAAACACAGTGCAGCCTATATTCTGTCAATGGGCGATACGGCTCCCGAATACATGAATGAGGTAAGTTTCCAAAACAAAGAGTAAAGTTCACACGAAAAAAAAAACTTTCATAATTCGGTTTGAAGATAAACGCCCCGGTAATGAAATATGAAAAGCGTAATGATAAGCGAAGAATGTTTAATGAATTTATATGACCTTTGTCTATAAAAATTTATCTTGAAATTCCTTGTTTAACAAAGACAAGCAAATAAAAGAAAATGGTGGCAATGGGATTTTGAAACCCAAAGAAATTGACATAATTTAATGTAGGTTCTCTAATTTTATTACTCACGGACGGCTTCCCGCCAGGAATGGGAACTGGATTTAGCTGACACAGCTGATCAACTATATGAGAATGGTAAAATTAAAAAAGCAAATTCATTTCAAATAAGACTATCCATCTCTGTATTTTCTGTAATTTACCTTGTCAAATTTCACTGAAAAAAGGTTCCCATCTCTGAATTTTTGTGTCTACAATGGATTTTGTAAACATACATTTTGACAATGAGAAGTTGTCAAATTAACAGTTTTAACAAAACGTAAACAAATTTTGAAATTTCGTCTGGTTGGTGTAAAGGCTAAAACAGATCGAAGCTTAAATAGTTAAGGTGAGAATACATAAAACCCTTTTTTTTTGACTGACTTAAGCCATCGACTGGCTCTTTGTAAAAGAACAAGAGAGCACAGGGCCAAATTCGATCTAAGTCAACCTAAAACTCCTTTGTTAATCCACGAAGAAGCCAGCCGATGACTCTCACCTTTACTTCGGCTTGAAAATACAACACTTATCATTTTTGGCTGCACGAAACGTGGAAATACAACACTGTTATCAGCTACAAGTGGCAACAGAGTTGTATTTTCACGCCGAAATCACGATTTAATCTTTGATCTGTTTTATCTGTCCGTCTGTTGTAATTACGCTAGAGTCAAAACGAATTAAGATAGGAAGCTAAAAATTTTGCACAAATCTCTCTTTTGTTTGCAGCCAGGTCACATTCACACGATATCGTATAGCCCCCATATAACGGTACCCCCGTTATTCGGTGTTTTGATGATTGAGCCAAATTTTCAATGAAATTGTCTGAAAATTCAGAAAAGGAGTTCCTTCTGAGTACCTTACCTCCTGGAAGAGTATTGTATATATAGGTCTACGACATCGTACAGGCCCCATATTCGGTATTTTGATGATTTTAGCTAAATTTTTCAACGGAATTGTCTAAAAATCCATACTAGAAGGTCTGTCTAAGTACTTTATCTCCTGGAAGAGAAATGTCTATATAGGACCACGTCCTCGTATAGCCCCCATATAATGATACCTCCCTATTTCGGTGATGATTTAAGCGACATTGTTCACCGGAATTGTTTCAAATTTGGTATTTGAAGTAATGGATACTACAGCATATGACAAAATATTGAGTACGCAGACCCACGTCTTCGTATAGCCCCCATATAACTGTACCTCCGGATATTCGGTATTTTGACGATTTTAGTGACATTATTCACCTGATTTGCTTAAAATTTCGTATTTAGAATTCGTAATGGGTACTACAGCCTATGACAGAAAATTGTCTTTGCAGGTCCAGGTCTTCGTATAGGCCCCACATATCAGTACCTCCCTTTATTTGGTATTTTGACGATAGTAGATAGAATATTCACCGAACTTGTTTGAAATTTCGTATTTGAACTTCCTAATAGGTACTACAGCCTGTGAGAGAAAATTTTCTATGCACGTCTTCTTATAGGCCCCATATATCAGCACCTCCCTATTTTCGGTATTTTGATGATTTTAGCGACATTATTCACCGGAATTGTTTCAAATTTGTATTTTAAGTTCTCAATAGATACTACAGCCTAAGACCGTCAATTGTCTATGCAGACCCAAGTCTTCGTATAGCCCCCATATAACTGTACCTCCGGATATTCAATATTTTGATGATTTTAGCGACATTATTCATTGGAATTGCTTCAAATTTGGTATTTAATATTCGTAATGGGTACTACAGCCTATGACAGAAAATTGTCTATGCAAGTCCAGGTCTTCGTATAGGCCCCACATATCAGTACCTCCCTTTATTTGGTATTTTGACAATTGTAGGTAGAATATCCACCGAAATTGTTTGAAATGTGGTATTTGAAGTTCCTAATAGGTACTACAGAAAATTGTCTATGCAGATCCATGTCTTCGTATAGCTCCGATATATCAGTACTTTCCTATATTCGGTATTTTTACGATTGAAGATACAATATTCACCAGAATTGTTTGAAATTTCGTATTTAAAGTTCCTAAAAGGTACTACAGCCTGTGACAGAGAATTGTCTATACAGGTCCAGATCTTCGTATTTTCGGATTTTTTCGATTTCGTACTTGAATATTGTAATGGCTTATGACAAAAGTCTTCGTATAGATCCCAATATAACGGCTATCTTCGATATATATATTCGTTCCAAATGGTGGAGGATATTCAAAGTTCTGCTTTTTTATTTGTTTTTATTATTTTTGATATATTTTCTCATTATACAACAAACAAGACGCTTGATTAATTTAAATTTTACCCGGTTAAAATACGGCACGCTGTGATCGAAAAAAGTATATATGAACGGTGTGTGTAAAGGTGGGAATACATAAAGCAGTTGGCTGGCTTAATTAATCGGCTGGCTTCTTCGTAGAGGAACAAAGGAGTTTAAGGTTGATTTAGTTCAATTTTGGCCCTAAGCTTCTTTGTTCATTTCCGAAGAAGCCAGCCGATGACTTAAGCCAGCCAAATAAGCGCTTTATATATTCCCACCTTAACTTCTATATTTGACATTACATATTTCAAGAGTGCGTCATAATATACGCAATATAATCATAAATTTGGATCCGACAGTCCATCCCACATGTTTTAAATCATGCTAAAATTCAGTCAACGTACAACGTATGCAAAAAAACGTAGCTTATGACGTAGCTCTACATGCGAAAACGAAGAAAAAATTCTCCGCATTGAGAATTTCGGGGGATGTGAATTGAATAAATAATCTAATTTCGATATCAGAACAAAAAAAACCCAGTATCGTCATCAGTAAACAAGAAATAGAAAAAAAATCCATATAGGTATGAATGGAAATTATCTAGATTTTAATGACGACAATGGGCATGATGGCAATCTATGTGGCGCTTTTGCCACCGTCTACTAGGAAAATACCCAGCAAACCCTCTCACTCTCGGTATCGCGTTTGTCTCTGGCTTGAATGTTCTTTCGAGATAAGACAAACCTCTCTAGTAGGTATTTATTTGTCTATGCATGATAATATATCACTCGGCAATTGGTGGGGGAGGGGCGGCACACCAATAGCAATTGATCGGCCAATTGTTAAAACTTCAAAAACAAAAAAAAAAAAAAAAACATGTGGAACGGGTGATGACGCAGATCTCATCGGGGGGAACAGTGTTTATGTATGGCGTGGAAACAATGAGAATGAGATATGTAGGGGGGCTAGGAAAATACTTGTCATTAAAGTAATTGAATTATTTTTTTTTTAACTTTTGACAATATATATTTTTTTGATAGATATTTGGACTTCTTGTCATGTCATACGAGAAAGACAATTTTGAAAGAAACAAATACTAAACATATTTTTTCACTTAGCGGGGGTTTCGGTAGATTTAATCTATTTGTTGACATGTTTTTCATTTATGTTACCAAATGTTTCAATTGTTCTAAAAATAAATATTGTCAATTTAATATGGCACAAATACAAGATGTACAACAAAGATTGGCAGCCGGAAATTAAGTTATTAAATTTGAAAATTTAAGTTTCGGAGAAAAAAAACTATAACTAATTTCGTAAAGGTGAGGGTATATAAGCAGCATAACATCATGGCTAGGCATATAAATGTCAAATTATAAGGGGAAACTACGTCAGGATTCGTGTGTGGCTTGCGAAGACTTTAAGATGCTTATATACCCTCACCTTAGGAAGGAATTTAAAAAATTTCCAAAAAAAAAAAATATATAATCCGTTAAAAATTCTGTTAAAATCTTAAAAGTACCGAATGTGGCCTCTATATTGGGGTCTATACGAAGATGTGGACCTGCATATGCAACTTTTGCCATAAGCCATTACAATATTCTAATACGAAACTTGGAAATAATCCGGTGAATAATGTATCTAAAATCGTCAAATTACCGAATATAGGTAGGTACCGTTATAATGGAGCTATATAAAGACCTGGACCAGCATAGACAATTTTCTGTCACAGGCTGTAGTACCTATTAGGAACTTCAAATACGAAATTTCAAACATTTAGGTGAATATTATACCTAAAATCGTCAAAATATCGAATAAAGGGAGGTACTGATATATGGGGCCTATACGAAGTCCTGGACCTGTATAGTCAATATTCTGGCATAGACTGTAGTTCGTATTACGAACTCCAAATACGAAATTTGAAACAACTCCGGTGAATAGTGTCGTTAAAATCATCAAAATTCCGAATATCGGGAGGTACCGTTATATGGGGGCTATACGAAGACGTGGACATTCAAAGACAATCTCCTGTCATTGGCTGTAGCACCCATTACGAACATCAAATACCAAATTTGAAACAGTTCCGATGAATAATGTCGCTAAAATCATCAAAATACCAAATATAGGGAGGTACCGTTATATGGGGGCTATAAGACGACGTGGACTTGCACAGACAATTTTCTGTAATAGGCTGTAGTATTCATTACGAACTTCAAATGCCACATTTGAAACAGTTCCGATGAAAAATGTCACTAAAATCATCAAAATACCGAATATCGAAGGGTACCGTTATATGGGGGCTATACCAAAACATGGACCTACATCACCCATTTTCAATACCAAAAGTCCTGCAGACATAATACACATTTGAGTAAAATTTTATCAAGCTACTTCATTTCGTTCGGAGGGACGGAGGGACATCGCTAAATCGACATAGAATTTTATGCTGATCAAGAATATATATACTTGGTGGGATCTATAATGTGTATTTCGAGGTGTTACAAACGGAATGACAAACTTAATATCCATCCTCCATACTATGGTGGAGGTGAGATAAACCCGCTGGCAAATTTAAGAGGAAATATGCAAAAAACGTCTTTTTGTTGGACAATTTTAACTAATAAAGAATAGTGGCATGATGGCAAACTTCCGATTGGCAGAAATGCTACTTTCGAAGAATTGCCAACCCTTTTTGATAATTTTTTATGTTTTCCGCTTTTCGTACTTTCTGGACAACATTGTTCTCCATGAGCGAATTTAACACTTGTCTCTCTCTAGTTTTACTTCAGTTTAGTAAATCCGGTTAACGAATACAGATAGTCCCATCGACACAGCTGCTGGGACAATGAACTGTCAAAGCAATTTTGAATGAAAAATGATTGCAATTTGAAAAAATTGTCGAAATGCCTATCATACCAACCTCCGATTGGTGTCGTATAAGAAAACTTATAAAAAAATACTTATTTTTGAAAAAAAAAAACATTTTGAAAATTTTGACATCACCTACGTGTATCCTTCTATCATCACAAAACAAATACTTATAACATCCCCATTTATGCTTTGATATTCCTTCATAAAGTACTTCTTGAAACACTCCACGATTTTTTCTTTGCAAGTCTTTAAAAAATACTTTTTTAAAACTCCTTATCCTCTTCCACAGTTCCTTGAATTATATGGAAAGTTATTCCATGATAACATTCCGTACGAGCAACAATTTATAATAACAGAATATGCTATAAAAACTATAAGTACTTCCGCACAATAAACCCCCCAACAACCCTGAGATGCAAAAATAGTACGGAATTTCCCCTTAAGGGATTTACAGTTTATTTATCAGATTACATGGAAGAATACAGGTTATTGGACGAAAGATAACATCGATTCCACGACCTAAGAAAAACACTCTACAATTGGTTCGATGAACTTTGGCCGAATGAGGGTCACCACCGAAGAGAACAGATAGTGAGAGTGCTGCTCAACTATCAGAAATTATCGGCACTTAACACTTTGAATGGCAACAAGCATTTGTTTATGTGCGGATTATCGATCAACAAACAGATATTATTGGATTGTTTAATTATTTTGTCTATGTTTAGATTTGTTGGAAAACACAACGAAATTTTGGTGTTTTCGTGTTTTGTATTTTTCAATGTTTTTATTATTATTTCCTTTGCAAAATAAACACCTTTTCAGTTGTACAAAGAATTGAAATGACTTTGTACAGCAGTTCTTGGTGTTTTACGCACGAGTAGCTCTCAAATAGGCGTTTATCGTTTCTTGAGAATTTTTTAATTAATTTTAAAGAAAAAGTAGCAAGGACAAATTAAGTTTTGTTTCATGTCTCTAAAAATAGTTACAGTATATTTGTATAGCCTAATTTGAGGAATATAAGTTTTCTAATAATAATTAAAAGCGGCATAACTTTTTGGGGTTCATAAAAAAATGTTATGGTAATAAACGCAAACATTTTTCAAAAATTCAAGGTTAGCTGTAGTTAAATTTTTGGAGATGGGGGAAATGTATGGCAGTTTTTGGATAAGAAAATGGTTAGTAGTTATGCGAATTCCCGATATTCGGTATTTTGATGATTTATGCCACATTATTTAACGGATTTGTCTGAAAATTGGTATTTGTAGGTCATAACGGGTCCCTGTATGTGTGGCAAAACATAGCATGTATAGGTCCACGTTTTGGTATAGCCTTCATATAATGGTACCTCCCGATATTCGGTATTTTGATGGTTTTTGCAAAATTTTTTCACTGATTTGTGTAAAAATTGGTATTTGTGAGTCCTACTGGGTCCTAGTTCGTGTGGCGAAACATTGTATGTATAGGTCCACGTTTTGGTATAGTCCCCACATAACGGTAGCTCCCAATATTCGGTATTTTGATGATTTTTGACTGATTTTTTCACGAATTTCACTGAAAAATTGGTAGTTGTAGATCATAATGGGTCCCAGTTCGTGTGGCGAGTCATTGTAATTATAGGTCCACGTTTTGGTATAGCCCCCATATAACGGTACCTCCCGATATTCGGTAACTTGATGATTTTTGCCCCTTTTTTTCACGTATTTGTCTGAAAATTGGTATTTGTAGGTCATGGGTTCTAGCTCCGTTGGCGGAACCTTGCATGTGTAGGTCCACGATTTGGTAGAGCCCCCATATAACAGTACCTCCCGATATTCGGCTTTTTAATGGTTTTTGCCACATTTCTTCTAATGTTTCCTTTTCCCTAAGGTGGAGGGTATTAAAAGTTTGGCCCGGCCGAACTTAATGTTTTTTTACTTGTTATAACAGATTTTGTGTTGGCGGAAGTATTAAGATGTAACCCATCTTCGCAGCAGGTCTTGTGTTAGTAGAAATAATGGAATGTGTGAAATATGAAGAGGATCGGATGCTTATTCCGGATTTTGCGATCGTTTTGGTTATTCAAATCTTTGCCAATCTCTACCATGATGGTAGATCTAGATCTACTGATCTTGCGTTGATGGAAATATTGAGATGTGCCAAGTCTTAATGGAATCAGATGTTAATTTCGCGTTTTATGAGCTTCATGAATATTCAAAATTTTGACCCTTTGTGGGGGAGGTACGAGAAGGAGAGGACCGAAATATCCCATCTTCACAGCAAATCTGGTGTTAGTAGAAATAATGGGGTGTGTGAAATATAAAGATAATCGGATGCTTATTTCGGATTTTATGTTTGTTTTGGTTATTCGAAACTTTAAACGTTTTGTGGGGGAGGTACCAGAAGGAATGGTCCGATCTCGACTATCTCTATAACAGATCTTGTGATGATGGAAATATTGAGACCTGCCAAGTCTGAATGGAATCGAATGTTAATTTCGCGTTTTATGAGCTTCAGTATTCAAAATTTTGACCGTTTGTGTGGGAGGTACCAGAAAAAGTGGACCGATATATCCTACCTTCACACCAGACATTTGGGATAGTGAAAATATAGTGATGTCTGTAATCGGACTCTTACATCACATTTTATAGGAGTTTTAATTTTTCAAAATTTTACCCTCTGTGGGTGAGGTACTTGATAGAATGAATCGACATTGTCCATTTTCGCACCTGACCTAGCACAAATGAAAATATTATGATTTGCAAGGTTGGAGCAGAGTCGGATCATTCTCTCTCTGTCTGTTCAGTAAAATATTTTATATCCTCCATACCCTTTGTCATTCCGTTTGTAACACCTCGAAATATATTCTTGATCTGCATAAAATTATATGTCGATTTAGCGCTGACCGTCCTTCTGTCCGTCTGTGGAAATCACTCTAGCTTCCGAACGAAATGAAGTAGTTTAATAAAGTTTTACTCAAATGTGTATTATGTCTGCAGGACTTTTGGTATTGAAAATGGGTTATGCAGGTCCACGTTTTGGTACCTCCCTTTTTTCGGTATTTTGGTGATTTAAGCGACATTATTCACCGGAAATGTTTCAAATCTGGTATTTGAAGTTCGTAATTGGTACTTCAACCTATGACAGAAAATTGTCTGTGCAGGTCCACGTCTTCATATAGCCCCCATATAACCTCTCTCGATATTCGGTATTTTGACGATTTTAGCGAAATTATTCACCGATTTTAACAGATTTTATTTTTTTGAAAATTGCCAAAATCGTTCCAAATGGTGGGGGGTATTCAAAGATCGGCCCGGTCGAACCTACAGGTTTTTTACTTGTTTTTTTTTAATTTCGACCTTTTGGGGGGAGCTACCGTTATTTCAATGAGGCTCGTCTTGGCGGTATCAAATGTTATATACCCTCTCTAGCCATATGGCAGAAATATTTTACAAATTTCAAAAAAATTCCATTTTTTTCTTTTAATTTCCTTGCACCATTCCCCGCACCCTTTCACTACCAAATTCTTTGGCCACAAGTTAGGCGATTAAAAACCAATTAAAAAGTTTGTTTCGAAATGGGGATTTACTTTAGACACTAAAAAAACAATAATTTTCTATTTTTTTTTTTTAAAGAAATTAAAACGTCGAATAGAAAATCACACTTGACTCAGACTATATAACTTAACTTAAATAAATATACATCCGTTATAGGGGTAATACAGATAAGATTATAACGTCAAAATTTCAATGTATAGATTAAACATGGGAACGAAATCAATTATGTATTAGAATTTGACTGAAAAAATACAGGCAAATCCCGCTAAAGTGAATTTGGGAAATAGAAACTATAAAAATCTTTTTAAAATTCAAAGAAAATATTTTGGAGTCTTCCAACCTGGTTTTAGAACAGATGGGTACACAAGCATCCACTGGTGTTGCTTTAACACTGTTTACACGTTCTCAAATATGTTTAATTAGGGTTGCATGAAATGTTTACACCCTCAATATAAAATCCAAATAAAAATATGTGAAAATTTCGTTAAAAAAAAATTATAAGAATTTTTTATTAATAATTTAATTAATTAAATTAAAATAATTAATTAATTAAATTAATTTAATATTAATCTGTGTCCTTTTTACTTTTTGCAGGAATATTGTGATCATGTAATGACTTTATGGAACGATTTTGGCATTAGGACCTGTTATGAACGTTCGAATGAATTTCCACTATCGGATAGTACAAAATAGTAAGTATCTACAAATAAAGGCATACGAAGGAGAACCAAAATTTGGCTTCCCTAGAAATTATTTTTGAATTTTATAAAAAACAATGTTATTAACATTTTTCCATCTCTTGCAGTTTCCTTGACAACTTTGAACGCATCTGTCAGGATGATTACATTCCAACCACCGAAGACATACTGCACAGTCGCAAAGTAACCACCGGCATTCACAATATCTCGTTTCGCGTGCAAATACCCAAATATTTGGGTGGTGGCGAACAGATCTTCCATATGTACGATGTGGGCGGTCAGAGGGATCAACGCAACAAATGGATCCAGGTCTTTGAAGGTATCCAGGCGGTATTATTCCTCATATCATGCAGTGATTTTGATCAGACGCTTCGCGAAGATCCTACCCAGAATCGTTTGATAGAAGCCTTGAGTTTATTCCGTGGCGTTTGGCAAAATCGTTTTCTTTCCTCAGCCGGTTTTATTGTCTTCCTCAATAAACAGGATATTTTGCGAAGGAAAATTGCCGCCGGCAAACACATTGTTGATTATTTTCCCGAATTCGAGGATTTCTGTAACAGTCCTCAGGCGGAATCTTGTTTCGACGAATGCGACTGGACGAAAAAGTTTATCAAACAGAAACTTATCGACATCACAGAGGAGCCTGTCAAGCGGCCATCACGCAATCTCATGAACCACAATGCCAAACGTGAATGTTACTACCATTTCACGGTGGCCACCGATACCGGCTGCATACGCAAGGTATTCAACGATGTCCATCAAATGATATTGCATGACAATTTGGCCCAAATGAATCTAATGTGAGACGTTTCACCCCCCACTCCTACCCCACCACAAAACGCTCCATCTCTGTGCATGTTCTCCCATTACGTGAGTGCGGGGGAACTGGTCACTTCCTTTCGTCTGTGATGTATTCTTTAAGTTTAAGAAATTGGAATAAACACACCGTAGTAACGTAGCAAAAAAAAAACAACCAGAAATAGTTAGGAATATTAGATTTTACTTTTATTATACAAAAAAAAAAAAAAACAAAAATATTCGCAATAATTTAAGTAGAATATAATCCTAGCTATAGAAACCAATTAATTGTAATTTATTATTGTACGCTAAATGAGTAAAATTAATTTTTATATCTTTCTATTGGAAATCAAGATATTGACAACTGATTGTATATTTATTTTAAAGCAATAAATTATTAATTTATTATGTCTCTTTAAAAATGTATATACATTCATACGTAGACAAAGAAAACAAAAGAAAAGGTGTTTTAATTCATCAACGAGGCTAAAAGTGGTAATTGGTCACCAGTCTTCCGCGTGCAAGGCATTGACTATTCTATTATTTTATATTCGTGTTAAAAATATGAACTTACTTTTGAATGTCGTCACTAACAAGAACTTTTCAGCACTCGACTTTGCACTGGTTCCCTGAAAAAATCTGCGAAGGAATAAACTCTTTCTGGAAATAGGTTATTAGAAAATTATATAACTATTTACAGTTTGTTTGTTAAGAAGTTAATTAAATAGATAGTCAGATAACCAATGACCCGATTTTCAATACTTACAAATTGTTTGAGTATTGTCTCGTTTTGCTACACCAAGTCATCGATGGCATCCACATCCTTTATTTCGTTCAATGGAAATTCATGTTGTTTTCTATCTTATAATTTAACGACAACAACTTGTTACATTAATAGTATGTATTTGCGCTTTTACTTTTTCAATGATTGATTTGCGATTCCCATACATTAAGTTATTGTATATTAAATTGAACTTTGCTAGGTAGGTTATTTAGGGAAACATGCATACAATAATAATAATAAAAAACAATGAATACAAATTCATTCGCAGCTAAAATTTATGTTTTCGTTTATTATGAATAATAAATTTTACAATTTTTGAATAAAATATGGTCTGTTCCAGAACTGTATGTAAAGTATTAAATATTTTTACTACGATGACCTACTTTCCCTTTATTAAATCTAAAAAAAATTACAAATCTTGTTAATTCTTGCAGGTTCCAGAATAGAGCAATAATGATTTCCTCCTATCTTGGATTCAACTTTGTGGACTAACCCCAAAATATCACTCATGTTTTGTGATTTACCACAAATCCAAAATTAAAGTTCAGTAATTTGTCACGAATTCTAAAAAAAATTACAAATTGTGGTCAGTAAGCGATCATGGTTATTGGGTTGTTTTTGGGAGTATTTACTAAACTTTTCAATCTCTTTATTTTACAATGACTTTTTTCAATTTCACAATATACCAATTTGTATTGAATGTGCCTGCTACTTTATAATACCGTTTGTTTTCATTCATGTTAAAAGATAACATAGAGTTAATTTTTTCTCAAAGAAATGTTCAAAAGAAGGATGGTTTCCTCCATTTTTGGATAAATCTCTTTGGTCAATTGAGACTATTTCACCTGTTAACATGAATGTTTTCCTGTTGACATATTTTTGTGATTTTTTTAGAATTATTTTTTCAGAATTATTTGAAAAGATATGCAGCAAGTATTTGTAGCTTTTTGTGATTTTTTTTCTTTATTTTTCAAATTAACTAAAATGTTCCAACATAAAAATCGTTAAGTCGAAAGTGACAAAAAACGCTTTATAAATTTGTAACTTTTTCAAGTTGAATAAAAATTATTCTACGTATGGTACAATGAAGACATAAGCTCCATATATATGTTATTATTGTGCAATAATTAGATTATCTTTTTTTGTAATATGAAGTCAAAAACAAAACATAAAGTGTTACAAAACGTACAATTCAAAATAGAATGTTGAAGTAAAAAAATGTCATGATGTGATTTATTCTTGTCTTATCACTTATAATAGAAAACAGATAGATGTGAAATAAACAAAACTAGCTTTTAAAGTATCAGCTACTTTTGTGTGTATTAGAGGTTAACATTCAGAGAACGAAGAAAATCTTTGCTGCAGCCACAAAAAAACATGGGCTTCAATGCTGGCTAATTGACTCGGGGACTTGTTTTAATGCGGTGGAGGCCATAAATTCCAACCTAAAAAGGAATACATTTTAATTTATTATATTAATTCAAAAATAATAATTTCAAAATAAATATTACTTTTCATAGAACGGCGCTTGTAAGCCATCAATCAAACCAAATATGACAGAATATGCCAACAGCGAAAAGCTTCACATAGTGATGAGTGTGTACAGTGGTTTCTATTTACCTGCATCAACATTAGCTGCGCATTGGCCTTTGCAGACCAAAAAACTTTTTTTATGCCATTTTTTTCTGAATCCCTTTATTTGAATTGTATTTAAGTGCCCAATCGATAGCTGCACATTAGAAATTCCTGCCTCGAAAATTTGGTAATTTTTTTTAATTTGGTTACAAAAGTTGTATTTATCTGCACAAGAAAATTTTTTGCAAACTCAAAAAGACACTAATAACTACCACTTCGTTTTTATTTTTGTATTCGCAAAAACAATAACAACACAAGAAAAGAGCATGCATTAAAAACATATTCTCGCTTCCTCTCATTGATTTTGGCTGGCTATTACACGTACGTAAGTAAAATAACGATTGCTGCTTTGTTGTGCACGAATAGAAAATTAAAGATACCTGCACTTTTTGTGCACGTAAGTAAAATTAAAGATACCTGCTTCATTGTGCAGATAAATGCAATTAAGCTACCTGCATTTTGGGCATTGCTGCACAAGATGTCGTGCAATTTTTGATTGTGCAGGTAAGCAAAAAATACTGTAGTAGGGTCTATCTGGCTATCCTTTTCACTGCGAATTTCTGATCATATAGCTCGACTCGAAAGAGAAATAAATAAATAAATTAAAATGAAAAAGAAAAATTTAAAAAAATGAATAACCAAATAGTATCAATTAAATTCCATACAGATAACTTACCATATCAAATGCTGCCAATGTGGCCATCGTTATTGTCTGAAATCCTCCCAAACTTCCAAAATTTTCAAACATGGTACGATATGGATTAGGCGATGACCTTCTTTTTCATCTGCCCATTGGGGAATGGGCAAAAATCCGTTTTAATGTGGAATACTAATTAAAAATATTTTTTTTAATTCCATACAGATAACTTACCATATCAAAAGGTTCCAAGATGCCCATCATTATTGTCTGAAATCCTCCCAATCTTCCAAAATTTTCGATGACCTTCTTTTCCAACTGCCCATTGGTGGAGACCAAGAAATTCAACCTACAAAAATCCGTTTTAATTTCGAATACTATTTAAAAATATTTTTTAAATTCCATACAGATAACTTACCATATCAAAAGGTTCCAAGATGCCCATCATTATTGTCTGAAATCCTCCCAATCTTCCGAAATTTTCGTGGTTTGGGCGATAACTTTGCCCAGTTGTGGTTTGGGCGATAACATTGCCCAGTGGTGGAGGCCAACGATTTCAACCTAAAAAAAATAATTATAATTTGAGATAATAATTATAAATACTTAGTTAAATTCCATACAGATAACTTTCCATATAAAATGGTGTCAAAGTGCTCATAAATATTGTCTGGAAACCTCCCAAACTTCCAAAGTTGTCGTACATGATACGAGATTGTTTAGGCGATGACCTTCTTTTTCCCCTGCCCATTGGTGGAAGCCATGAATTGTGAACTGAAAAGTATATAAATATTAGCTATAAAGTTTTAGTACGTCTGTATAACAAAGTGCTATGTGGGCAGCTTGACACGTTTGTTTTTCCCTAGGTTCTATGTTAAGCTTCCTTTTCTTCGACCTGTTTTGCCTTTGCTTTGCCTCTTCTAAAGACAAATTTTCCGCCAACCATTTGGCAGTTTTCATAATTAGAAGATGTAGGAGATACATTAAGTGTTGTTCTCTGTGCTCTTTACACTTTTCATCAGTAAGGAACCAGGGAAATACGTCTTTTATTTTTCTTACTATGACATTGAATGTCAATGTCCTGATTTGTTGTGCGTGAAGAAATGTTTTAAATATATTTTGATACCAAAAAATAATAAATTGTTATACGATGAACGTTTCTTGATTGGGTTTACAAGTTTATTATTTGGATTATAATTCTTTGAGTTGATGTATTCATCATCGCTTCAGCATTCGTCTGCAGTCGCCTTTGTCATAGCGGCGTGGCAATTTCGCAATTTTATTTTATTTGTAATTGTTTTAAGGATGGTAAATCCAATCACGTACCGCTCGGCCTGCATTTCTACCTGATTTGTCTCAACACTATGGAATGTGTTTAGGATTGACAGCATTTCCATTTCGATTTAATTCCTTTGTTCAGGGTGCATGGCAATGGGTTTCTTGGTAGTGCTAATTGACCAATTCAAATATTTATCATCATCCGTTTCGCAATTTTTCACCGAGCTTCCGCGTGCGCTGTTTTAATACTTCTGAGAAATATAACGAGCAACATCCTTAACTCCCATACAGAGGGGTTAGTGTTGTTCCCTTGTGCCCGGAATCTTGAGAAAACGTTCTCTAATGCATCCTGACTCAATTTTCCAAGAAGTATGTAGTCAACATTGTTGCAATCCTCGAAAACTTGTTCACCAATTAGTGACATACCCTTCATTGTCTGAACTAACCATCGACACACCGTACCGTACCTCTGCTCTTCACGGTTAAGTTATTCAGGAACGCTATTACTTGGTCAAAATACTGATTTTACTTCGAACAGCCTCTACGCATTCGTTGATTGTAGGGATTGGTCAAACATATCAATTAAGACTTGCAGGAAATCGCTGGTGGTCGCTGCTTCAGGCATTATGCGACAATTTGATGCTATACCATTGAATGCTATTATGGCTATAGATAATGTGCGACTAAAAATTTGGGTTGCTCTAGCGACGTTCATCTTGTCCCAGATTGACAAATTTATATGTCTCTCTGTTAACTTGGCACATAACTTTACAATGAAATTTTTCTTATCATATTCAAATACCGCTTCGATATACTTTTTCAAAATAGCAATAATTCAAAGGCATTTGAAAAGGTAAGGATAGTCCCTTGTACATAAAATAATGGGAACTTTCATTGTTACATAGGAGGCTGTATAGACTCTGGTTGGAGCTACCTTGATCACATACGATTCCCCTTATTTCCAACCCAATTCTCTGCAGTTCATCTATATTTTTATATAACAGAGTTTTAACTGTTTCGCCAGTAACACGACTGTTCAAAGCATAAAAACTGGTTATATATTTCCAATTGCTACAATAGCCTATGGCCAAAAATACCTTTTGAAGCAATTCTTGACGTTCTTTAGTGACCTCCCAAATTATGCTCCAATTCTTTTCTTATTTCCACTTCGTCAAATGCGATGATGACTTGCCGTCCGTGCTTTGTGAATGTAGCCATTATTATTATTATTATTATTTTTTTTTTTTTTTTTTGAATTATTGATATCATTGTTGTCATTGCCAACTGCGCCGCCAGCAGTTTATTAAACTCTAAGGATGTGAAAGATTTAATTTAAACTCATTTCTCAAAAGGTTGTAACTTTTCTTGCTTGAGAGGTATGTACATTGGGACATATTTTTCAGAATATTTCACAAATCATTTTTGAGAAATGAGTAGCCTTTTTATCTGACACATCCTTTAAGTAAATAGAAATTTGAATGTAGGTTCTTTAACGCCAATGCCAGTTCATCCACCTTCTGTCGCAAATTTTTCCACCCGTCCACGAATGTTTATATATGCCACATGCTCCGTTCTTTCAATTTCAAAACAGTTTCGTAGTCTTTGAATTTCTGTGATCAATTTTCTGTTGACATGGATTGCCTCTTCCAATTTTTTTAACTGTCTGGTCCTTTGTATGGCAACTACATGTGCATGGTGGTTCAGACGGTTCAGGATCCTTCTCCTTTACAATCATTTTATAAAGAATGCCTACATTCCTTCGTTCATAGCACCGCAAAGGTACTTTAGTACTTGAGAAGTTATTGGCTGATTGAATCTCATATAAAACGATTTTCCAATCTTTGCTGTCAATCTCTTACTTAGTAATTCTTACCTCGGTGGGGAGACGTTCCAGTAATGCTGGAGAAATTGAGGGGAAATTTAAAATTGTAGTAATTTTATTTCAGAATTACACTATTTTCCAAAAAATCCCAAATATCTAATACGTATTCTACTAAACATAAAGCCACGGAAAATATTTTTGTCTGTTACGTAGTCGATAAAATTCATGTAGTCTCATATTTTTCCAGGCGAAAGCTCTCTCTTTACCTGAAAAAATATTTTTTTAGGCCAACCAACAAAAATCTCCAAAAAAAAGGCAATATTGAATCGCAAGGTAACGAATGTGTAGAAGCATGACAGGTTAGAAGCGTGACAAATTTGGTGACAATATATATATATATATATATATATATATATATATATATATATATATATATATATATATATATATATATACATATACATATATATATATATATATATATATATATATATATATATATATATATATATATATATATATATATATATATATATGTATATGTATATATATATATATATATATATATATATATATTTATATATATCTTTTTTTGGCCCCTATTTGCCATCTTTTTTTCTAACGGGGTAAAAAACCTCTTTGCTTTCAAATTGTATTTAGCCTATTATTTATTATAAAAATCGTGACTTATAGTCAGATCTGTGATTTATTGTGCATCAAAGAATAGGCATCTTACACACACACTTTCACACTTTTCACGTTATAATTGTTGTTACTATTGACCTGGAAGTGCTCCCATCCGTAGGTTCATCTTGCCAATGTATTCTGCCAAAAAATTGTTATCACATATTCTCATATGCTTTTTAATTTTTGAACTGTCGATTTGTAATATTGCACACCAACTTTTTAACTGTCGAATCCGGTTAAAATGGTCATTAAGTGGGAAAAAGGTGCTTGAATGATTCGCAATTAAAAATACACTTTCTTGACATTGTTTTAAATCACAATGTTTATAATTAAGACACAAATTATAATTTAAATTTAAAAATTCCAAAAGCACAATTTTCAATTTAAAATTTCACACAATTTCAGTAACTAACACTTCAAGCTTTGAAACCAGAATAATTTAAACCCACTCAAATTTTGCTTTTGAAACTTCTTAAAATCATAGGCTACTAAGACGATTTTTAAAATAAAACGTTGGTAAATTATTAAAGTACTAAAGAATATTTACCACAAATTTTTTTTGTATTCCAACAGGACTCAGCACGCGCCACCCAAGAGTGGTTACAAAGTGAGGATCCTCACTTCATTTCCCGCTCACAATAGCCATCAAGATCTCCGGATACCAATCCATTGGACTATTGTGTCTGGAGTACTACTTTAGGTTGGCACTAAAAAATACCAAAGTGTCGATCACCTCAAGCAAGCGCTTCGCCGGGAATGGGCCAAAATACCACAGAGCAACATTCAGGCAGCGTGTGACGGTTTCATTGGCCGTTTGAAAGCCATCATTCGTGCCAAAGGTGACCAATTCGAACAAATCTAAACATATTCTAAAATTTGATGCTGTTTCCGACATTTTTTGCTTTCATTCAATAGAATTTAAAAAAAATTATGGCGTTTGACATTTTTTGCAGTTTTTTATCTTACCTTGTACATGACAATTAATTTTACTTTAAAAAATTAAAAATTAAATATTTTTGTGTGGGCGTTAAATTACTGCTAGTAAATTAGCCTAGTCTAAAACAGAACAACTCAAAAGAAATTGTCAACAAAATGGCCACACATTAGCCAATCGCTTCAATTTTTTTTTCTAAAACAACAAGAACACAGTTACAGATAACAAATTATCTAAAGTACTCTTGCGCCATCTATATTATAAGCAAAAAATCAAAATCAATTTGAGATCATGGAAAATGAAAGCTTTTACTCAAGGTAGATCTAACAGGTAACCGCATTGGCGAATTGCAACAACAAAGCAACAAATAATGACTATATTTTACTGGTTTAAACCGAAAGTTTTCCGGAACTGCAAATGACAAGAGTCGAATTCTTGCACTACT